GTTTTGGAGATCAACTACAAAAAATTTTTTCAGGCAGGCATACTGTTCCCAGAGGCAGGTGACAAAATACATCTATGCATGGTAAATACATATAAACACTAGAAATGGAAACCAAAAGATATATGTAAAAGAAAGAAAAAGCAAAAAATATTTGATACAGAAACTCAAAATTACTTTTTGACAAATTTTAATGTCAAAATCCAATACAATGTGACAGCTGGGAACAGTATATCTAACAATATATATGTTCCTGGTGACAGTATAAATCTTCTTTATCAGTGATAAATGTTGATAATGCATGTAAGATGCTTTTAAAGTGTAAACATATTACTGCAATTTTTTTCTCAATTTTGAAGGGTCAGTTAACATAGCTGGAAGTTTCTTACTTTGTTTTCGCAAATAGTGCAACTAGATTTTATGATACCTGAATGTAAGCAAATCATATGATATATAGGTGGAATCCTTTGGGTCACTCTACCCCCTCCTGTTTGATAACTTTGAAACGGATGAGATCCCCACCCCTAAACCATATATATTCATGTATGGGACTATATAACTAATCAAATGAAATATATAGGGGGAAGTCCCTAGGGTTACCCCACCCCTCCTGTTTGAGAACTTGGAAACAGTCGAGATCCCCACCCCTAAACCATATATATTCATGTATGGGACAATATAACTAATCAAATGAAATACAGGGGAGTCCCTGGGGTCACCCCAACCCTCCTGTTTGGGAACTTTGAAATGGTCGAGATCCCCACCCCTAAACCAAATATATTCATGTATGGGACAATATAATAAATCAAATGAAATATAGAGGGAGTCCCTGCAGTCACCCCACCCCTCCTGTTTGAGAATTTGGAAACGGTCAAGATCCCAAGACAAGACAAGACAATTTATTTAAACTTAAGCACACGTATGGTGCTACAAGAGGATAACAATTATACATTAACAATTACATATATACTTATACATTTACAAGCAAGACACACAATAAATAAATAAGTGATATCATACAATAAAATGGAAATAAACTATAGTTGGTTGATTTGTTTGCAAAATTCTTAATTGCAACATGGATATGAAGTTATTGTAACATGCTTTGTATTATGAAAATATTTTTTCAATATGTCTTAGAAACATGCACACTTTTGTTAGCAGTGGCACGTTACAGTGTGATAATAGACCAGTAAGTTTCAATTGGGAAGGATTTTGTGTGTAATATGTAGGTATATATCTTTCTCTTAAAGACATAATTTGTTCATTGGAGCATACAAAAAAATAATGATCCCATAAACCATACATATTCATGTATGTGACAATATAAAAAATGAAATGAAATATAGGGGGATTCCTTGGGGGTCACCCCACCCCTCCTGTTTGAGAACTTGGAAACGGTCGAGATCCACCCCTTAACCATATATATTCATGTATGGGACAATATAACAAATCATATGAAATATAGGTTGAGTGCTTGGGGCCACTCTACCACTTCCTGTTTGAGAATTTGAAAACGGTCGAGATCCCCACCCTAAACCATATATATTCATGTATGGGACAATATAACAAATCAAATGAAAAATAGGGGCAGCTCCTATGGTCACTGTAAACCATCCTGTTTGAGAACTTGGAAACGGTCGAGATCCTCACCCCGAAACCATATATACTCATGTATGGGACTATATAACAAATCAAATGAAATATAGGGGAGTCCTTGCAGTCACCCCACCCCTCCTGTTTGAGAACTTGGAAACAGTCGAGATCCCGACCTCTAAATTAAACCATATATATTCATGTATGGGACAGCAGAACTTATCAAATGAAATATAGGGAGAGTCCTAAGGTTCACCCTACCCCCTCCTGTTTGATAACTTGGAAACAGATGAGATCCCCACCCCTAAACCATATATACTCATGTATTTGGCAATATAACAAATCAAATGAAATATAGGGGAAGTCACTGGGGTCACCCCACCCCCTCCTGTTTGAAAACTTGATAACGGTCGAGATCCCCACCCCTAAACCATATATATATTCATGTATGGGACAACATAAAAAATCAAATGAAATATAGGGTTAGTCCCTAAGGTCACCCCATCCCCTCTTGTGTGTGTTTTAAGAACTTGTAAAAGTTTGAGATACCAACTCCTAAACCATATTCATTCCTGTTCGTCATTTCAAACAGATTTGAATGACATACAAGATCAATCTCATAGGCATCACATATGCATATCACTTTACTAGACCTAATCAATGTGTACTAGACTTTGCCCAATGTCAGGCGACCATGGGAACGAATAATTATGGCAGCTTTGTTTGGGAGACTTCGTAACAGCATTCTGTTACAATTATTTCTTGTTTATTATAAAATTTTATTGATGCAAAAAATGAGTAGGTTTAAAGAATTTACCTTAATTATATTTTGAATAATTTCTGGTTCTATAAAAAATTTCATTTTAATATGGCTCATTTTAAAGAAAACATATCTTTCAAGCCCAAGAGTGTTTGACCAACTTTATTATAATCACCTGTCATTTTATTCCAAACTTAGACATCATGGACTTGGGGTGAAGGTGGGGGTCATTTACATTTACTATGGGCAGGTCAGTCAGACCTCACCTTTGATCCCCGTAGTAGTAAACATTTGTCTGATTTGTGTCTCATAACTTTTGCACTGTAGAACACAAACTCAGTTTTCTTTCCAGGGAAGCAAGTCCATGCATACTATTACAAGCTCGTACTAAGTCAACTTGAACTACTAACAGTCAACTAATACCAACGTTAACTATCAACTAGAACAACTGCAATCATTTCGAACTTGTACCACTGCAGACACATGACCATTAAAAATATACTTGATATATGCGTTGCTTTTGAAAACCTTGATAAAATATGAATTATTTGCCTTAATAATTAATTCATTAAATGAACATAAATGCACAATATATGAATGTTTAATGTTTGTTCTTTTAAATCTTAAAAAAAATGAAGCAACATAGCCACAGTTTTCATAATTATGTTTGCCTTGGTTTTTGGTTAACTGCCTACAGTGCTTACAGTGCTTTGATCTTATATGTTACCAGCATACGGATTCTACTGAACTCTTTTAGCTCACCTTACCCAAAAGGGTCAAGTGAGCTTTTCTCATCACTTGGCGTCCGTCATCCGTCGTCGTCCGTTAACTTTTACAAAAATTTTCTCCTCTGAAACCACTGGACCAAATTAAACCAAACTTAGCCTAAATCATCCTTATGGTATCTAGTTTAAAAAAATGTATCCGATGAACCCGCCCACCAATCAAGATGGCCGCCGTGGCTAAAAATAGAACATAGGGGTAAAATGCAGTTTTTGGCTTATATCTCTGAACTTAAGCATTAAGAGCAAATTTGACATGGATTAAAAATGTTAATCAGGTCAAGATCTATCTACCCTGAAATTTTCGGACGAATCCGACAACCCGTTGTAGGGTTGCTGCCCCTAAATTGGTAATTTTAAGGAAATTTTGCAGTTTTTATACGACCGCAAAAAATTTTTGGCGTCGTATAATGCTATGATGTCGTCGTCTGCGTCGTCGTCGTCCGAAGACACATTTGGTTTCCGGACAATAACTTTAGTTTAAGTGAATGGATCTCTATATAAATTTTTACCAGAAGGTTCAATACCACAAAAGGAAGGTTGGGATTGATTTTTGAGGTGATAGTACCAACAGTTTCGGTATTAGGGTCCAAAAAGGGTCCAAAAACGAGCTTTTTTGTAGTTTCCGGACAATAATTTATGTGTAAGTGTATGGATCTCTCTGTAATTGTACCACCCACAAGGTTCCATATCACACAGGGAAGGCTGGGATTGAGTTTGGGGTTAATTGCCCCAAACGTTCAGGAATTAGGGAGGGAAAAGGGGCCAAAAACAAGCATTTTTCTAGTTTCCAGACAATGACTTGTGTTTAAGTGTATGGATCTCTCTGAAATTGTACTACAAGGTTCCATACCATAAAGAGAAGGCTGGGATTGAGTTTGGAGGTAACTACTCCAAAAGGTGGGTGGGGGGTTAAAAATTTGGGGGGGGGGGGGTTCATTTTTTTTCTTCAAAATTTTTTTAATCTTCAATTGCACAGTATTGCGCAATAGTAAGAAATCTTCAATTGCACAGTATTGCGCAATAGCACAGTATTGGTCAAAAGCAAGAAATCTTCAATTGCACAATATTGTGCAATAGCACAGTATTGTGCAATATCACAGTATTGCGCAATAGCAAGAAATCTTCAATTGCACAGTATTGCACAATAGCATAGTATTGCGCAATAGCAAGATATCTGCAACTGCACAGTACTGCGCAATACCAGAAATCTTCAATTGCACAGTATTGCGCAATAGCAAGAAATCTTCAATTGCAAAGTATTGGACAATAAGTATTGCACAATAGCAAGAAATCTTCAATTGCACAGTATTTTGCGCAATAGCAAGAAATCTTCAGTTGAAAACAAATACAAATGTTTTAACCAATTTCAATGGGATTAATTAAGTCTTTAATATTTGGGGGTTCTAACCTTGTATAATTTTTTTGGATATTGTGCCCTATTTTTAAATTGGTCTACATTGAGGTCAAAAGGGTCTAAAATTAAACTTTGTTTGATTTCAACAAAAACTGAAGTATTGCGGCTGTATGATTTGCTGAATCTTATTGTGCATTTAGATTTTTATTTTGGGCCCTATTTTCAAACTAGTTCATATTAAGGTTTGAAGGGTCCAAAATTAAACTTCGTTTTTCAACTAAAATTAAATTATTGGTGTTTTTTTTTATATGCTGAATCTAGCCATGTTGTTAGATTTTGGATATCAGACCATTCGAGGTAAATTAAATATCCCATTTAAAATTTTTAAGATCTTTGACCACATTTTTTGTGTGTCAGAAACCTATATTATGTCAAAAATTTGATCACAATCCAAATTCTGGCAGTGTCAAGCTTGAATATTGTGTCCAAACTTGCCCTAGCTGTTCAGCGAAGCATTTTATTGGTTATTGTCTTGAATATTATAAAAGATAGAGATAAACTGTAAACAGGAAATATATTCAGCAAAGTAAGATCTACAAATAAGTCAATTTGACCAAACTTGTCAAATGACCCATTAAGTAGTTATTGCCCTTTTCGTAAATTTTTGTAATCTTTTACAAAAATCTTCTCTTGATATTACTGGGCCAAGTTAAACCATTCTTGGCCTAAATCATCCTTAGGGTATCTAGTTTAAAAAAATGTATCCGATGACCGCGCCCACCTACCAAGGTGGCCGCCATGGCTAAAAATTGAACATTGAGGTAAAATGCAGTTTTTGGCTTATATCTCTGAAACTAAAGCATTTAGAGCAAATCTAACGGGGTTAAAATGTTCAACAGGTCAACATAACCAAAATTGTCAATTGCCCCCTTAAGGAGTTATTGCCCTTTAAAGTCAATGTTTCTCTTTTTCGTAATTTTTTTTTAATCTTTTACAAAAATCTTCTCTTTATCTACTTGGCCAAATGAAATTAAACTTAGCCACAATTATTATTAGAGTATCTTGATTGAAAAATGTATCCGATGACCCTGCCGTACAACCAACATGGTCCCCATTGGTAAAAATAAAACATATAGGGGTTTACTCTAGAAGTCTATGGGGAAAAAGGTAAAAAAAAAACCAATTTCAAAAGGTCACAACTTGAAAACTAATTTAAATAATGATAAGGGGTCTTCAGTAACTATTGTAAGGCTGCAATTGGATGACTTGATTTTTTTCCAGGGCGTGCAATTTTTCAGGGGGGGGGGGGGGAAACTAATAATTTCTCCTTGATATGTTCCATGTTTAGAATTATTCAGTGTTACTTTTTCTATGAAGCATTATTATATCTTTTCTTTCAGCATACTTATATTGGGTGAATGCCCTCCAGACCCGGCGGGTTATTCGGGGTCACTGGAACCCCTGCCCCAATTTATTTTATTGAAGAGTGTTCCATAAAAACATTTAAAGGCATTTTCACCATTACACCGTCCCTGGGTGAAATAAATTTTGGAGTGGAGGAAAGGAAATTTTTTATTTTTTGTTGATTATCTTGAATATCATTACAGATTGAGATATATTGTAAACAGCCAAAATATCAAGCAAAGAAAGATCTACAAATAAGTTAACATGACCAATTGGTAATTGACATCTTATTGGAGTTATTGTCTTTTAAAGTTATTTTCTGCAATTTATTGGTAATTTTTGTAAATCTTTTCGAAAATCTTCTGCTTTTAATTTAACTACTGGGCTAAATTAAACCAAACTTGGCCTCAATCATTATTAGGGTATCTATATGATTTTAACCTTATTTTACATGATTTCCAAAACCACAGTAGATACAGGTGAGCGACACAGATTCGTGAGAGCCTCTAGTTTTATATACATACACATATATATATATATATATATATATATAGCTTAGAACGCGTAATTAACAGTGTATAAAAACGCCTGACCATCTTTTTCGTTCACAACAAACAAAGATTTGAATTTGCTGTTATAGCAAAGAGCCCATGGAGAACCAATTAAGTCTGTCTCTGACAGGAGTGTTTTGTACTGTTTGCCACCAGAGTCTATTGCAATGACATTTTTTGAATCGAGCCCTGCAACAAAAGAATTCCCGTGTTCATCAACTGTGATACCTCTAGGTCCCGTGAGAACCATTTCGTCTGTAAATGTCCATAATATATCCCCGTTTCTATTATGACAGACGATCGTATTGGTATATCCGTTTACAGAATAAAGTGTATTGCCTAATGAAGCAAAAAATGTTGAGACTTCCCCACTGCGTATGTAATTTTTCTCGTTATTTTTTAACCTGATCTCCTGTAATTTGTTTTCGAGAGAAACTATAAAATTGCCTTCAGAGTAAGTTACGCCATAGGAAGGGTGAGTCGTGGAGATACTTCTGAATGTTTTCCCTAATTTAAGACTAACTAGTTCAATATTCCTTTTCGTGGATGATATTACGGCAACAGTTTCATTGTCGACACATGTAACATCATGAATATTTGGCATCATGTTGGTAATTTTCTTTTCAAATTTTCCACCAGGTGAAAAAAGTATCAAAAAAGAAGGATTAAAGTTTGATACCACAAGTTTGCCACAAGGTAAAATACAGCAACCTGACACATTTAAAGCTGTTGTATTTATTTTTGTTTTTAACTTCAGTGTTATATTGTCAACAGACATTGTAGGATTCACGTTTACACTAATCAACTGAGCTTGGCTCTCTTTCCTTCTTTTTAATAGGAGTTTACATGGTAGGGCATTGATGCCAACTTTTCCAAACGTAGGTGTTTCTTTACTGATATTTTGTAATAAGTCGTTAAATTGGCAAATAACTTCGACGTGAGCCAATTGTTGATCTTCAATCCAAGACTGTATGTCATTTTCTGTTTTATTCAGTTTGGTTTCTAACTGAGTGATCCCTAAAAATGTTTGCATATCTGTTGCGTGTTCCTTTATGCTTTCTACATTTTCTATCCACTCTTCGACTAAACTTTGAGTTTTTTTCAGAGATGCAATGAAACTCTGTATTTGTTTGGTTGAATTTTCTACAGATTTGTTGAGTTCAGCGACAAAATTGTCTTGCATTTTATCTAGGTTATAATTTATCGTTTGTCGGATTGCTGATATCTCGGATTCGAATTTCTTTTTTGAAGCTGATAGCGAAGATACATTCTTTTGTCTGTCAGCCAGAATACGACTGAGGTTTTCCTTCAGTTCCACGAGTGAGGATGTGATCTCCGTAAAGGCTACTGATGTTTTAGCATTTTGCACAACATCTTCAACGAGTAATATTTCTTTGCATTCCCTGTGGTTTGCAGAAATGACACATTTTCTACACAACAGTTCATTATGCACATTGCAAAACAATTGGTACTTTTCGTCGTGTCCATCACAGTTCAGTTTAATGTTTGCAATAAAAGATGGCAACATGTGGTATTCCGCGATAAGAACTGTGGTGTGGTTTCGTGTGGCCTTTGACAAGCCGTGATGTTCCTTACAGTCCAGGCATAGTCCTTCATCGCAATCTGAGCACCAAACAACTGACAGCTTAGAAACGTGACGTAAATAACAAATACAACAATTTTCAAACAAAGTAGCCATGACCTGTAAAAACAAAATTCTGTTAATATATACGATCAAATATGGATATCCCGTATAACATATTTTTCATAAAGCGTTATATGTACAAGGTATTGCTGCATAGCGCCTGCCATTGGTGCATGTTATTAACAAAATTAAATTTTGATGATTTGATCATTTTCTTAAAATGCCCCAAAAAAATAATAAAAAATTTGTAGGCTGACAAGTCATGTTTGCGTTTCTGACTGAATGTTATGTTAAATCTTTTTTAAGATTAAGGTATTACCAACTGAATATGTCAACGAACATTGAAAGTGAAGTCGGATGATCTCGGTCAGACAAATTTTCTAATTCTAAAATACAAATTAAGTTATAACTTACAGTAACAAAGACTCTAAAGTAATTGTGAAAAAAAACTAATGTAATCAATGGACCATGAAAAAAGTGTTAACAAAAATACCACAATCCAAGGTAAATTCAAAAATGGAACTCTATAAAAAATGAAAAAATCAAACGTTAGACTTTATCAACCAACGGGATGAATGGAAAATAACTCGCATATTCTTGACCTGGTACATGCATTTTTCGAAGAAAAGTAGGATTAAACATGGTTTATAGCTAGAACCCCGTCATGCAAACATGAACTCCTTACAGCCCATATGTAGTTAACCTATTACGAACAGTAGATAATTACTAATCTAAATTTGAAAACACATTTTTATCAATAAAACTAAACAATGAAAATTATAGATAAATTTCAGATGAGCCCAGTTAGACAGACAAATACGCCTTACAATTATTATACACCACATATGATACAACAAATTTTAATCAAGATACAACAAAAACATAACTGACGAAAAAGTTCAAAGGTATTGGTATTCTGTTGTTACATCGAACGTTGGTAAATGAACCACAAACATACTTTATGGGTAAATGAACATTGTAAGACGGACAAATACACCTTGTAATCATTCTTTTATAGCATGAATATAGCTAATCTATAATAACCTTTTTTATAGACCACCTGGCCCATAGCACAAAAAGGAGGGAAAGATACCAAGAGAACCTTCCAAAATCGAAGAAAAACTGGCAAAACCATGAAAAAAAAAAGATTGAAAATAGAAATAAGTCCTCAAAATACCCAAAAGACACTTAGATTGACCAACACGAACCCCATTAAAAAACTGGGATTGAAACATGTGTTCCGCAAGGGATCTATGCTCATCACTTGTCCGCTCGTCAGATAACTTTTACACTAATCATCTCCTCTGAAAATTCAGGACCAATTAAATTCAAACTTGGCCACAATAATCCTAAGGGTATCTAGCTTAAGGCAAATTAGCTATGATCCGACCAGCCAACAAACATGGCTGCCAAAATTAAAAAAACATAGGGGTAAAATTGAATGTACTGTCTTATCTTCAAAACCGTTATAGGTTGCACTTTGTAAATACAACTGTTTCACAAGCTACGCCTCTTTTGGGGAGATATATAATATTCATAGATATGTTAATTTGTTAACGTACTGGTTCCCAAATATGATCTCTGTGTTTGATCTCACAGAGACATAACTTGAGAATGTTACCAGTATAGAAAAAAATGGTAGCGCCTAAAATTTAATTCTTAGGAGGTCCAAAAGTGGAGGTAGGGGTAGTATAGAATTTTAGTATAAGTTTAAACTCTTAGAAGTTCAGGGCATATTAATGTTGAAAATATGCCGCACAGCACTATATTTTGACCTTTGAATAAAATAGTAGTGCATATCAACATTCCGTTCTGGGATATAATTTTTCACGAAACTTCCTAGTAAAAGTGGCACAGTTTTAGCCGCAAAGGGTGTTCCTTTGGGAAATTACATTGTCTATATTTACAGAATTGCAACCTTTAGAGAGAGAAAATCTGACATGGACAGAAATGTTCAGAATGTCAAGGTCTACATATTGTCTCTTTTTAACACCCCTGCCAGATGGTCCTAATATGAGCTACAGTCATTAAATGGCGATTTGTACCTAGTTTTTGGGGGTAGTTTTGGTTATTATCTAAAACATATTAAAGTTAAAGGGAAACTGTAAAAAGCAAAAACGATTTACACAAAAGGTCAGTGACCGAAATCGTGAATTAGTTGTTGCCCCTGCATGATAAATATTACTCATTTATGTTTTATTTTTCGGAAACTGTAGAAGATAGAGAACTTTTAAATTTTAAAAATGATCACAAGCACAAGATTTACAAATAGGTCAAATTGTAAAATCATCTGGTCGTCTACTTATCGGAGTTATTACCCTTGAATGGCGATGTTTACACTTTTTTTGTGCTTTTATCAAAACTATAGTTGATAGCGAGAAACTGTAAATAGAAAATTTTCTATAGCATGACGAAAAAAAAAATACATGAATGAAATCATTAATCGATTACCTTGAGGATTTGTAGCTCTTGAATGATTTCTTTTTACAAATTATTTTTTGCAAAAACTAACATGCTAAAGAAATAAAAGAGAATATTTGAAGTAAAAAAAATATTCTCTTTCATTTCTTTAGTTTTGGTAAAAATAAAAAAAATGTGAAAAGTCTTCATTAAAGGGCAATATCTCATATAAAATATAGAGAGTATTTGAAGTAAAAAAAAGGATCAACAGGACAGGATCTTCAAATGGGTCAGTTGACTTTTTATATGAGTTATTGCCCTTTAATGAAGATTTTTCATATTTTGTTATTTTTGCCAAAATTCTGGTAGAGAGAAACTGCATGAAGCCAATTAAGCCAGTCAAAACATATGGCCGAACTCGTTAGTAAACTCCTTATAAAAGTTTTTTAATTTGAATGATGAATTTTACCAATTATTTTTGCCGGAAAATATTAAGGAACTATTCTTTTCGCATTGTATTAATGTTAAACAAAAATGACAAATGAGCAATACAGGAGCCTCTAACTCATTTTTACAATCTGGATCTGCCACTTAGGGTGATGGGGTATATGCCGCGCGATCTTCTCTGTATAATAATCCAGTCAGACGTGTTTATTTTAGTACATTCTGTTGATTTTACTTAAAAGCCATCCATATATACCTATGTATATTTTTCATTGTAGCGTAGCAATAATAGCTTTTGTACATACCTTGGATGTTTAATAGAAAAGTGGTCTTCAAAGTCGATAAATATTAAACAGGAAGTATGAAATAGGTCGTTGTTTTTCTCAGATCACATGCTATAGCAACAGGTTAGATAACTTTAACATGTATGAATAAGTACATACTTTAAATTCAAATTCTCCTTTGTTAGAGAGAACTATATATCATATACACATACTGATGATTCTCAGAACTGGCTGTCATGAACGCAGGTTGAACTCTACAGGTAAACTGGAGTATATTCCAAGATAAGAAAGGCTTTATAAATATTGTAATTTGAACGTGATTGAAGACCAGATCCATTTTGCATTAATTGGCATGTCCTTTTTACATGTTATATGCATCAAGAAAAGTTTTACTTGAGCATACTAAACTTAGAGAATATATTAATTGGATTATGTCAATTGACGACAAAAGCTTTATAACCATGTGATAACATCTTCATGCAAATATACCCGGTACCTTAACATAAGTTTTGAAACAAAACTAAAAATTGGGAAAATATATTTACCAAATTGACACACCTAGCTTAAGGCTTTAGTGACAATATAAAGAGCGGAGATATCTTTCTTTCATCCAGCTGGCTCTCTCAAATTGTTTATCTTTGTACATGTTATATAAATCATAATATTGATTATTTAATGTATTGTCTATTTTAAGGAATGTGTAGATGTTTATCTTTTTTTACTTATTTTCTTGTTTGTAATTGACGTTCCTTTAAGGGGCATTTAATTAGGAAATAAACTGATTTGATTTGAACAAGATCTGCACCTAGTTGAAAGGTCAAATCGGTGGATCAAAATGCTTAGCCACGTGAAGTTTGGAATGACCCGGTAATCCTCATAAGATAAATAGATAATTGTTTGTTAAAACAACGTTTAATGAATTCAATAAATTTTACAGTATTTAGTGTTTCTCTACAAATCGTAATTTTACATAGAATTACAATAGATAGGAAACGAATACAAGTACAAGAAACGACAATCACAGAACATTTACATTATAATTAATTTACGCCTACGCATATAAAAAAGTAGGACCCTATATGAATGTAAGATATAAGAAACAACCGTCGAAGCAAATAATAAAAAAATAAGATATCTACAGTACAAATGAATGAAACTGAATAAGATAGTAGGTAAACACTTCCGTAAAGTATCAAAATAGCTCAGAAGATGAAACAGACTCCTATGTAAGTGAAACCGACACAAGGCAATCAAATTGAACGACGCCAATGGATGGGACACTTTCCTGGAGATTAAAACAAGACATATAAATATAAATGTAAACTCTTGAAGGACTAACAAGAGGCTATATATAATGCATGTGTCGATAACATGGATCAATGTGCATCTTCAACAATGGTCATTCTCCAACATTATATACGAGTTTATGATTCATGACTTAAACACTTTTTTAGTGATCTTTTTACTGTTTACAATTTCCATCTATCTACTACAGTTTTTTCCACAACCCCAAAAAATGTCATTTAAAGGCAATAAATCCCATAGAAAATATATATGTATAAATATATCAACACATTATGGTTATCATGGTCAGTTTGAAGCATTATCCGATACTATCATATTGGACCCAATAAGAACGGGTATGATCAATGTCAATCAGAAAGGTCTAATTTGCGAGTTCTCTTTAGAAAAAATCTAATATAAAAGAAGATGTGGTATGATTGCCAATGAGACAACTCTCCACAAGAGACCGAAGTACAAAGAAATTAATAACTATAGGTCACCGTACGGCATTCAACAATGAGCAAAGCCCATATCGCATAGTCAGCTATAAAAGGCCCCGAAATAACAAATGTAAAACAATTCAAATGAGATAACTAACGGCCTAATTTATGTACAAAATAATGAACGAAAAACAAATATGTTACACAACAACAAACGACAACCACTCAATTACAGGCTTCTGGCTTTCTTGGACGCAGAAGGATGAATGTATGGTGTACCATCGCAGTTATAATTCAGGATTTTATACATATTAGTAATTAAGTATCTTCAAGCATATGATATTTATCATCTATGATCAATATTTTTATATAACACAAGATATATTTATCATGTTATGATAATACAATTATTACATGCAAAAAGTAGAATAACAAAAATACCGCACTCCAATGAAAATTCAAACGGAAAGTCCCTTATCAAATGGCAAAATCAAAATCTCAAACACATCAGACGAATGGAAAACAACTGTCATATTTCTGACTAGTACAGGCATTTCCTTATGTAGAAAATTTTGGATTAAACCTGGTTTTATAGCTAGCTAAACCTCTCACTTGTAAGACATTCGCATAAAATTCCATTATATTGACAACAATGTGTGAGCAAAACAAACAGATATAATAGGTAAAAATGTCAAAACTTGGGGTACAGCAGTCAACATTGTGTTATAATCTTAATCACTATAAAAACAAAAAAACTGTGTAAAAAAAAAAAAAAATAAAATAGCATCATGTATTTGTGAAGTTGATACGGAATATTTACCAACAAGGTCTTGGTATCTTCCGATGAACTTTTCTAGAAAAAAGGATGAGACGTTCTTTTACATAACCCTGGTTCATCAACTTTCTGCTCAGACCCTGGTGACGTTTAATAAAGTATGAGTAGCAGCTACAAGCTCTTTAATACCGAATGAAGTGGGAAATGTATATCCTATATGCAGGTGAAGTTGGTATATTGTTGCTAAGGTGGGGGTAATTTGTAATTTAAAAAAAAAATCTTCTCGTTTTTAGCTCACCTGAGGGTCAAGTGAGCTTTTCCCATCACTTGGCGTCCGTCGTCCGTCGTCGTCGTCGTCGTCGTCATTAACTTTACAAAAATCTTCTCCTCTAAAACCACTAAGCCAAATTGAACCAAACTTGGCCTAAATCATCCTTAGGGTTTCTAGTTTAAAAAAAAATCCGATGACCCCGCCCACCAATCAAGATGGCCGCCATGGCTAAAAATAGAACATGGGGGTAAAATGCAGTTTTAAATTTCAAATGTGACGTCACTTTGTGCGTTGAGGCTTTGGCTAACTCGGCTGTGTATTTTTATGTGTTGGATTAAGTTGTTTTATGTAATGTATCCGTTTTTATTCTGTAGTTAGTCCCCACTTCGGTTTTATCATGTAAATCTATTATATAGTCATTTTATAAAATTTACTGTTTGCAAAATTATTAATTATTCTAAATAATAAGGATGTTCTTGTCCCAGGCAGAAAACCCTGGCCGTGTTGGGCGCAACTTTTTGGAAGTTTTGGTCCTCGGTGCTCTTCAGCTTTGTACTTGTTTTGGCTTTCAAACTTTTTTCATCTGAGCGTCTCTGGTTAGTCTTGTGTGGACGAGACGCACGTCTGGCGTATTGGATTTTAAACCTGGTGCCTTTTGTTAGCTATCATTCGTGTGTTTCTTTGTCCTATATGTTCTCCCATTTATTTGTATTGTAATCCTGTCATGTAATGTTGTCATTTGAATGTTATATATTTAACATTGCCATAAAAGCGGGAGGTTTGGCATGCCACAAAACCAGGTTCAACCCACCATTTTTTTCTTAAAATGTCCTGTACCAAGTCAGGAAAATGGCCATTGTTATATTATAGTTCGTTTCTGTGTGTGTTACATTTTAATGTTGTGTTTTTGTTGTGTCGTTCTTTTCCTCTTATATTTGATGCGTTTCCCTCAGTTTTAGTTTGTAACCCGGATTTGTTTTTATCTCTATCGATTTATGAGTTTCGAACAGCGGTATACTACTTTTGCCTTTTTTGGGCTTATATCTCAAAAACTGAAGCATTTAGAGCAAATCTGACTGGGTATAAATGTTTATCAGGTCCAGATCTATCTACCCTGAAATTTTCAGACGAATCAGACAACCCGTTGTTGGGTTGCTGCCCCTGATTTGGTAATCTTAAGGAAATTTTGCAGTTTTTGGTTGTTATCTTGAATATTATAATCGATAGCGATAAACTTTAAACAGCAAATATGTCCGGCAAAGTAAGATCTACAAATAAGTCGAACATGATCAAAATTTTCAATTGACCCCTTAAGGAGTTATTGCCCTTTAAAATTAATTTTTCACATTTTTTGTAAATTTTTGTAATCTTTTACAAAAATCTTTTCCTGAAATTACTGGGCCAAATTAAACCATACTTGGCCTAAATAATCCTAAGGGTATCTAGTTTAAAAAATGTATCTGATGATCGTGCCCACCTACCAAGATGGCCGCCATGGCTAAAAATTGAACGTAGAGGTAAACTGCAGTTTTTGGCTTATATCTCTGAAACTAAAGCATTTAGAGCAAATCTAATGGGGTTAAAATGTTCATCAGGTCAACATGAGTTATTGCCTTTTAAAGTCAGTTTTTCACTATTTTTCGTAATTTTTTTTTAATCTTTTACAAAAATCTTCTCCTCTTAATTTACTTGGCCAAATGGAATTAAACTTAGCCGCAATTATTATAAGAGTATCTTGATTGCAAAATTTATCCGATGACTCTGCTTTACAACCAACATGGTCCCCGTTGGTAAAAAAAGAACATAGGGGTTTACTATAGAAGTTTATGGGAAACATGTAAAAAAAAAATTTCAAATGGTCACAACTTGAAAACTAATTTAAATAATGATAAAGGGTCTTCAGTAACTATTGTAAGACTACAATGGGATGACTTGATATTTTTTTCCAGGGGGTGCAATTTTTTCAAGGGTGGGTAGTAGGGGTTGCTAATAATTTCTCCTTGATATGTTCCATTTTTAGAATTATTCAGTGTTACTTTTTCTATAAACCAATATTATATCTTTTCTTTCAGCATACTTGTATTGGGTGAATGCCCCCCCCCCCCCCCCCCCCAGAACCGGCGGGTTAGTCGGGGTCAGGGGAACCCCTGCCCAAATTTTATTGAAGGGTGTCCCATAAAAACATTTAAAAGCATTTTCAGCATTATACAGGCCCTGGGTGAAATAAATTTTGGAGCGGAGGAAAGGAATTTTTTTGTTTGTTAATTATCTTGAATATCATTATAGATTGAGATATATTGTAAACAGCAAAAATATAAAGCAAAGAAAG